TTCATCGTTAGGCATTTCAATAAATGGTGAATCTGTACCATTTAAACCAATCAAATTGTCCTTTGGCGCGAATCCAAGATTTATAGAAGCATTTCTATCGCAGTTTTCAGGCACTGGGAAAATGTATTACGACACAGGCAATGGCATTACGCGTGAAGATTTCCCAAACGGTTTTGCCCTGTTCGGCGCGGACTTTACCCCCGATATGTGCAGTGCATCCGAACATTTTAACACTGTGCAAAAAGGAAACCTGGCCATTGACTTACAATTCTCGACACCGCCAACTCATGCAGTTAGCCTCGTTTGCTATGGAGAGTTTGAGAATATAATACAAATCGATGGAGAGAGAAATGTCGTTTATGACTACATTGGATAAATGAACACCTCACAAATATGGGCCGCTTTGAAATCTGATCCGGTAACAGGAAAAAATTTCTCGGCGTTTTCCAGCCGACCGTCTGCCTAAAGAAATCGAAAGCTACCCAAAAGGATTTATCGAAAACACGGATGTAAGCGGAAAACCGGGGACCCATTGGGTTGCCTTTTACTTTCCTTCAGAAGAAAAAGCCGAATTTTTCGATAGCTATGGACAACCACCAGGGCGATATCATAAGTTCTTTAGAGATTATTTGAAACATTATGATTGGGGGTTTAATAAACGTCAATTGCAAAGTATCTGGACGGATGTATGTGGACAATATTGTATATTTTACCTCAGCCATAGAGTGCGAGGATATAACATGAATAAGATTGTAAACATGTTTGATGGTAATACTGTTGAGAACGATAACAAGGTATCAAGTTTCGTTAGAAGACATTTTCATATAGAAACTAGTGTAACCCTAAACGATAGCATTCAGTCAAGTATAAAATTTGTTGTAAAAGCTTGAGCCGTTTATTATCAATAAAATTTTCTTTGTGTAAACTAATTGCCTGTGTTTGCTATTTGCATATTCTAATGATAACAGTCAAGAAATTGATATCAACTGCTCTATTTATTTAAACAAAACAAATCTTTACATGTCAAATTTTAATAGTCTATCCAACGTAAACGAGTTTTCTTTAGTGTAGGGGTGGCTTTAGGTGGTGTCATTTTCGTTCTTGAGCCTCTGTGGTAGGCTATTCCGTCTTCTTCATCTGGCGAAGTTTCCATTTGAGCTTCTTCCCATCTTACATCGTTCCAAACCAAATCGCGAGGAATGTCTATTTTTGATAAAACGCGAAAGAATTCTCTAGAACCTGTAGGATTGAAATTCTTTCTCCCTCTTACGGCGTCGCTAATGAGGTCTGATATATTTGATTTAGGGATAATAACACCGTCAAGTTTGACTTGTCCTGAGTCATCCCAAGTTATTATATCAGGATGTCTTTTAATACGATGCAGTATTGCTGTCGCGCGTTCACGCATCGTCTTCGGCACACTTTGTACAATGACGGAGTCAGCTAATGTACGCACTTCATTGTTTATTACCGAGTTTCTTTCTTTCCCGTCGGTTGTATCCATCACGCGTACTGTGGGTATCTGAATATCTTTTTGTTTCTTCAAATTAAGGAATTGCTCAAAGTTTGTGTTGAAAAGTTTTTGCCTTTGATCGTCACTTAAACCGTCTTGGTGAAGGATGTGTGAGAGTTGAGTATCTTTTTGCATCATGTTCATCGTAATTGGCGAAACTTCAAATTTTTGCTTTTGTTCATATTTATTATAAACGTCTTCAGGTACTAAAATCATTCGCTTGGCATGCTTCATTATTTCAGCAAACTCCCTAGTACGTTCAAAACCGGCGGTAGGAAGGCGCTCAGTAGATTGCCTCCTTTTTGATTTAAAAGTTTTTCTTTTAGCTCTTGAAATTCTCTTGTTCGCTAAGGCTCTGAGATGTTTCTTATACCTCAACAAGCGTCGTTTTTGACTCGCAGATATCGGTACAGTTCCTTTTAACATATTAACTGCGCATTCACAAATGCACAACATGACATCAGATGGTCCATGTTCGATGATAACCTTTCGAATTTTCGGCTTAGATTTTGCAAGTACTTGCAGGTACGGAAGATTGCTCCTAATTCGTTTAGACATGATGTTTAAATGATTGTTGATGTCGATGCTTATCACTTATGTACATAGACAATCTGCTTTTCACCGGGCAAGATATTTGTTCTGACACGCATATTGTCAGATGTGAGTTGATGCAAATCGAGCAAAAGATAACCGTAAGGGCGGCATGTGGCGTCTTGAAATGACTCAAAAGGTAATTCGTTTTCTTGGGTACATTTGGCGTGCCAATGTTGCGATACCTAGCGAATCTCTGGGGTTTTTAAAAATGATCATGTAGTGGGAATTTAAGCTGATTGTTCGGGATTGTTTACCAGGCGGAAATAAATTTTGTGTTAGATACATGACAGAGACGCCACGGTGATGTGACCCGCGGGTAAATAAATCGGACATTCGTTGATCGCTAGAACATTCTGACATCAAATCGTCAACGACCACTAAAGAGTTTTGACAACCTTCCAGAATATCAAATAAGTTGTCCGGGAATCCTTCGACGAAGCAAATGTTTGGAATTTTTGATTCCATTTCACCAAATTCACTTTGCCGTTCGCCGTAACAGTAAATAATTTTATTCGGAACAGGATAAAAAAGTTCGTTTAAATTATAAAGCATCGACCTAACCAAATAGCTTTTGCCCGACTGACTTTGACCACACACATAAAAGTTGGCAGGTGTTCTAAAACGTACGTCCATTGTCTCGCAAATAAAAGCAAACATGTTCTGCTTTCACTTTTATAACCACTCGCTAGTAAACATTTTGACATATTCAAAGAAAGACGGAATGATTCGACTAGCTTGAATGGGGAGGTATTTGTAAAATAGTGAACAAAGTGCACACAATAAGAATACATTGGACAATGAACAATTTTTATTAAATATTTTCTAATTATCTACATCAATCAAACAACAAAATCTCTTTTGATTACATATGAACACATCATACTTTAGCAGATATTTATGACAAAAATTTTAAAAGCACTTGAGGGTTTACTTTAAAATCCTCACAAGCATAGGCATGTCTTTTAATCGTTCATTCATTTTGTAACTACATTCATAGTTCGCAACATTCATAGTTCACAAGAGTTGTTTGTAACTTTTCCAATTTTCCATAATGAATTCCTTGCTGTCTGTATGTTTTTTCCTTATGGCTTGCTCATAAGACGAATAAAGGTTTAAACTATTGTATATAAATTATACCAAGTTGCTATCATAAAGCAGGGGAGAGTTTAAATGAGCAATACCCATAAATGAATACATGATAACAACTTGGTACAATATACAATAGTTTAAATTCCTCTTAAACAGATGATAATGCTCATTGATGCTCATAATTACTTATGAGCACTTGCTCAAATGCTCATAACTGCTTCAACACACTTGCTCATGCTCATTGATGCTCATAATTACTTATGAGCACTTGCTCAAATGCTCATAACTGCTTCAACACACTTGCTCATTTGCCCACAAATGCACATTGCTACATAAAATGTCTCATTTCTAAAAAAGCAGTGCCGGCGAAATGAGCTGCAGATATTGTGGAAAAGTATTTAATTGAGCTTTCAACTTACGCAGACACGAAAAAGAATACTGTCCACTAAGGGATGAGGAAAAAATGTCTCAATCAGATTCAGACAGTCAGGGAATGCATTTCAAAGATAATGTTTCTACAAGTTCAACAGATGAATCTGAAAGTTCAATGTCAATAGAAAATGAGGCTGAAACTGGAGAAAACTGATCCTTGGATACCTTTGATAGAAGAAGCAAGGGAAAGAAGTAATGTAGATTTCGATGAGATGAAGGAAAGCCTTGTGAACAGTGGTCTGGATGAGCAGACAGCTGAAAATCAAGCATATTCTAACATTCTACCAAAACTTCAAAAAGAATTGGAAAGTATTTATATGCAACGTCTTATGTGGATAAACCAACTGAAAAAGATCCCATCCACAGAAAAATAATGCATACAAAGAAAGGGTTTATAGAAAATGACGACTTTGATCCACAGGAAGCTATGGAAGCAGCTATTGATAAGAGAAAGTTTCTCATCAACAGACTTTTAAAAGAGTACAGCTTTGGTGAGATTGCCAATGATGAAGAAGATTAACTTTGTTAGATGAATTCGTTTCATAATAACTTGTATCTTATTTTGAAGTGACGTTGTTCAATAAAATCTTTTCATTTTCAGTTTAGTGTGAAAATTACTTTAATATTGCATAGCTGCAAAAATCCTCTGCTATTGTTTCTATCTCTATCTGTTTAATGGAAACATGCCAAGAAAGCCTCTTAGAGCTATACATACTGCGCGAAGCTCGATGTTTTTGAAATATTTTGCGCCTTCATAAGATGAAAAGGGAAATTCCCTAAAGTGATGATGCATGAAATAGCTCGAATAATATTACGCTTACGGCACACTTCTACCTATATACGCCACTTTCAGCAGTAAACCAGTTATTGTAAGCCTGAAACAACTAAAATTGTTGTGCCACATCGCATCTTGAATGCATAAGTTAATAAATTTAAACCACTATAGGCAGATAGGCTTGTGGTATCAATTACTGCAATATCAATATCAAACGCGCGTTGCACTTTTATCAGTTGATTGCCCTAACTTCTTGGTTTAAATTCTCCTAATACGATCTCTAGCAACCAGTAAAACAAACGCATACTAAAATAAAAATAATGTTTGTAAATCTAAGAAGGACAGAGTTAAAAGCTAGGATACTGCACAGATCTTACCCACGCCACATTATTCAAGGTCATACTATTCAATGGTAATTTATAATTTACATTTGCGAGATGGCAACGAAGGTCACATCTGAAGCGCATGTGTAGTGTATCTCAACCACTTACGAAACAGAGAGCCTTTGTGAAGATGCAATATCCAAACATGCAATCGAAGAAGGATGGCCTCACCATAACCGTCGTTTTATACCTTCAGTAAGTACAGTATGTCTTTTTTCTGTTCCTTAGAGTGTTTGTATTAACTTTAACAGAGGCGTCGATTTTATTTTTTAGAAAAATGTGATCACTGTGATGATTATCTTGTAAAACCCTCGTGTGGGCATGTATCGTCTCATAAAAGACCTTATCGAGTAAGTTTTTATTCGTTTGTAGTTGTCGTAAAATGTTTTTTTCTATGTAATATTACATCGCTTACGTATATGTATACAGAAGTGCTAACATGTAAGCAGTAAATTCATACATGTTTCTTATATTTCATTTAGAACAATGTGTAATGGTTTGACCTTACGAATCGAACGGGAATAAATAAAAATATATATTTACAAAAGCTTAACGACTCGTGTTTCAAGTTTGTTGTTTGACCTTACGAATCGAACAGGAATAAATAAAAATATATATTTACAAAAGCTTAACGACTCGCGTTTCAAGTTTGTTCTTTTTATCCGAAACAAATAATTTACGCCAGTCGTTACAAGTGTATTTTAGTATCTCAAGTCCATTAACGGGTGGCTTGACATCTTCAATGCTTTTCATAAAGTCTTTCATAACAGTCTCTTCGGACACATTTTCCAAGGCATCATCAAAATGCAACAACATACGCTCGTCATGCTCCATCATGAGGCAGTCATGCTCACGATGAGAGGGGTGATCAATCATGCATCCATTGCAGTTCTTATTTACTTCAGCGTTTATCATTGCAACAATTTCTTCAGCATAGCAGTCTAAAAGTTTATTTTCTGACAAACTTTGACGTACAGTTATTTCATCCTTTTCTGACTCCAAAGTCAATTTGTTCATTCTTAATGCCAGATCAATGTCTACATTCAATTCCATTTGTTTCAAGAGATAAAATGTAAACCTTTCGATAAAGTATAAACTATAAAATGCAATTACCTCGTTTTCTACCGTTTTTACCTTCGATTGAGAAAAGGAAACGGATCTAATGTTACTTTGTCAATAGCATGCAACTTCCAGCTTTGTCGTATTTCCGATTTTCATGCCATCCAATGCCATGCCATGTTTATTAAACCCTATTTCCGGTTGACATGCGCGCGCACCGATCAACTTCAGGGGACTGGAAACTAACTGGCACGGGTAAGAGCTCCGTGACAAAAGTGTGACAAAGCTGCATGATATCTACTGTCGACAGTCCAATCTGAATTCCTTGTAATGTTTGATGAATTTGAAATCAACGCATCACCATTATTGATCTCGCTATTTTCTTCGTTTTCTGCAAGCTGAGCAGACTTGTTTCCCTTATTGATTGAAGAGTTGCCACTGTTTGGAAACTGCTTCGTCTTCTTCTGCGGACAGTCTTTTGGTAGATGCCCTTTCTCGTCACAAATGAAACACTTGCCACGAAAGCCTTTCTTTCGATTAAAAATGTTCTCATTCTGACCACCACGTTGTTTCCCACCTCGAAACTTGTTACGTTGCGCGGAAAATGCATCCTCTTTTCTGGTCTCGGAATCTTTGGCTCTGTCTTCATCATTTAGTATCATGTTTTTCACTTTCTCATAAGAAAGTTCATTCTCACCAACAGCATCCAATGCCGTTATTAATGGCTTATATTTATCTGGCAAACTGGCCAACAGTGTCATTGCCAGTTCCTTATCATCGATGCTTGCGCCCATTTCTTTTAGTTGCTCGTGTAATGATTTTAAGTTGTTTATATGCTCCAACATATTCCCTCCAACATGAAATTTTGACGAATAATATTGCTGGCGAAGACGAACCTTTTGAAGTAACGATTTCCTGGCAAATTGACTTTTCAAAGCGTCCCATGCTTCCTTTGCCGTTATCGTTTCTCTCACGTGCACTTGCTGATCCGGCTCGATAGCCCAGCAAATATACGTCCATGCTTTTTTCGCGGAGGAATTGAATCTCCTTCGAACATCAGCACCGGCATCGTCGTTAGGAGCAATCGCACTACCTTCGGCGAATTTAAACAAGTCCATGCTTTCCAAATATAACCGCATATTGAAAGCCCATGACCGGTAGTTCGTGCCATTCAATTTTGCGAACTTAAGAGCGCTATCCGAAAAAGACATTGCTTAACTTTTAAATTACTTATCTTAAGTAGGACAGTTTGCGTCCTGGGCCCATAACCTATTAGAATTATAATGTTTAAGTAACCATTTTAATATAACATAACCAAATACAACGTGCAGTGCAATAGAACAGAATAAGAATACTAAAAGATATAGAATGTCAACAAGACAAAGAACCTAATATACATATAAATGTTAGTGCCAAAGTCCATGATCAATTATCCAGTGATGTATCATCATTATAGATATGAATTTCCGGTATCATATTACTCTAATAATACGTTTATATCCCAATAGAAACAAGCACATTAATCGATGATGTTGATGTTGATGTTAATGTTGATAGTGTTCCAAATACCCCTGCATTAATAGAGATAAATGATGATGAAAGCAGAAGCCCAGAAGATGAAGACGAATCATATGATTCTACAACTTCGAGCAGCAGTACCATTCAGCATCGGCGTGAATTATTAAATTCAAAACTGAAGGGCTATAGACAGGAAAAGTTGAAGAGAAAGCTTCCTGCAGATAGCCAGATGCTGAGTATTGCCCAGGAAGAACTTGAAATTAAAAAAAAATTGATCACAGAATGGAAGAGATTAACCAAGAAAACTCAACTCAGATGAGAAGGATGATGACCAACATGGAAAAGCTAACTGAGTCCATAGCAGATGGTTTTACTATGCTGAAGCAGGTAATGCTAAGCCCACCACAGCTGCTATATTCACCACAGCCACCACAACCACCCATGCAACCTCACTACCCTCCCCGCCAAACATTTACTGAGTTGACACCGCTTCGAGATTCTGGGGACAATGGACACTTCACTTTTTCACAGTCTCTATATTCCAAAGATAGTCAACTTCCTTTTTAATGTGGCACCTTATTGGAGACCACTTTTCTCAAATCAGAAAATGGTATTCCTTGCAAGCATTTTAAGATGCATACACTGAAAAACAGTTTTTTGCATGAAGCACCATTGGCTATGAAACTGGCATATCACTTATCAGCTTGTGAAGTGCTATGTTTTCTGCCTTAACTACGATTCCTAATTGTTTACTGCTTGGGTCCTGCATTTAATAAATGCCAAGAAAACTACCAGATGAACATATCCAGAAAAATTATCTAAAGTGAGGAGAGTGTTGAACACAAATTTCTAATAATCATATATTGCAGGTTCCTATGTAATAGTAATATAATCATGGATCAAAATATTTAGTTAAAACTCTCCTGACTCTTTTTCCTTCTGCCTCATTGCTGTCTGTTATAAAATTATTTGTATTTGATAATGGCTGGAAATGTTTATCAAAAGCAATGGATGCCAGAACTCTGTTCTCTCCAATTTTTTCTTTTCTCATCTCACAAAAATTGTGAAGAACAAAACATGCATATATTACATATGGGAGATCATTCAAATTTATGTCCATGGCCCTCTTAAGACACCCAAACCTTGCCTTTAATCTTCCAAACGCACACTCGATGACCATCCTGAACTGACACAGAGTCATCCCGAAGTACTGCTCCTGGACTGTAAGCTCCACCATTAGAATATTCCTTCATCAGGTAGGGCATCAACGGGTAAGCAGGGTCTCCCAGAAGGAATACCGGAATAGGGTCCTCATCAGGAACTACTATCCGCCTGCATTGTGGTATGGTGCCATCTCTCAAGACTTGGTTCATTTGGGAATTTTGGAAGACCCTAGCATCATGGACACGGCCTGGTCACTTAATGACAACATCAATAAAACGATAATCATAGTTACAGGTAGCCTGAACGTTGAGACTGTAGCGTCCTTTTCTGTTTATATATTCTGTGCTATTTGCCTTTGGCTGCTTAATTTCGACGTGGGTGCCGTCAATTGCTCCTAAGCACTGAGGATCGCCATGAGCTACATGAAATTTTGCAACTAAGTCTTTTACATCCTCTTCTGTAGTTGGCAAATGAATGTAATCAGGTCCAATGAGAATGGCAATCGCTTTGCAAACTTGTCGAACTACTTTGGAGACAGACTGCCGTGAAACACCAAAGGCATTTGCAGTCTTTCGCAATCGACATTCATCACTTAAATAGTACAAAGTTATTGCAACTTTTTTTACCACGTCGATCGGCGACCGCATTCTTGTTTCTTTTCCTTCGATGTACGGCCTCAATTTGAAAGCTAGAGCGTACAGAGAGTTCCTACTCATTCGGAAATTTTCCCTCCACTCTTCTTTCACGACAATCCTGGCGACAAAGTTGTCCCACCACACTGAGCTTCGTCCAGGTCTTGTCCAAAACCTTCGAGGTTTAGGCAAGCCTCGAGAGAGACGTTTTATCTTCGATTTTCTCGAAGCTGGGAAGTCAAAAGCTTTAAAATAGCTTGTTTTCTTCTTGTAGAATCTAGGTGACGTCTTAGCAGGAATAAATGTGCCTTCAAGAGCACCAAAAGACTAGAAATCATAACAATCAGAAAAGAAGCCATAACAAAACACCTGTCCGCCATTTTAAATATTCGCGGTCGAATTACGTCACTATATAACTTACCATCGTTTTTACTGTCCACACTAGGAAACACCGTTTTCACAAAGCATCGTTTTCAAATTGCTCCACTCTGGAAAGCGTATTTGAATAGCTCCGTTTTCGGTGATCGTTTTCGGCGTTGTAGTGTGGACGATAGCCGTATCCGGAGCAAAACAGCTCCGTTTTCGTTTGAATACGGATTAGTGTGGACGGGACCTTCGTTCGCAAAATGTACACTATGGTACGTATTGGAATATTCTTTATCAGTTGATGGTTGCATGTGAAAATAGCGAAGTTTTTCGATGTTTATTTTCTGCTAATAACTCATACAATACAGATCCTATAAGAAAAGAAAAGGTATAGTCATTTTTTTAACCTCATGGTTTGCCACACACCACAGGTTCTAGGGCTTCTTCATTTGAAAGTTGGTGCTACAGTAGATGAAATTAATAGAAAACATTTGTTTAGTTTGTAACACGCTCTCCATTAATTTATCTCATTTCCTCATTATTCTTATAACTTATACAAATTTATATCTCTCATTGTTACTGTATCATAATACTTTCAGTAATCCTGTATTTATTTATTTATTCACTCATACTGAAGATGGCATCATGAGATGTCGAAACATGTCTATTTTCAAAAAACTCGTCGTCTATATTAAATGCAAATCAAAGGAACTGACATCATATCCTGCAAATTCACTATAGCGGCGATGGAAATTGTTGATCGTCTTGCATTTATCTTGGCAATACCATGCAAAATGATTCAGCTTAAAGCACTTCGTGCATTTTTTTCCATAAGTCTTGCATTTCCCTCGCTTGTGAGTGTAAGAATAAAATTTACAGTCTTTTAGTAGGGATTTATCATAACTGAATGATTCTCTGCCAATGTTTTTCTTTTCGTTTCTCGTGAATTTTCTTTTCTGTATACTGTCAATATATTCTTTGTCTTTTAATTTCCTTTTGAAGTTCCTTCGTATGTCTCTTCGTTTTTTCAGCAGCATGTCCAATTTGTGCAGTTTTCTGTAGTGCTGATTCTGGTTCTCTAAGAAGTTCATGAAGACGGTTATCATTAAGTCCACATATTATGTCACAAATGAGATCATCTCGAAGTATTTTAAACTTGCATTCCGTACTACGCTCCTTCATACTAAAGTTTAATTTTCACGTAGATATTTTTTATCTGTTATAAATATGCGTGCGTTAACTATTTAAGGTATAGTAGTAGTATATGAAATGTTACATACAAACTTCCAGAAACTACACCAGCTGTCCTTTTCAGTTTCGGTTGGGTATATTTAGATCACGTATTGGAAAACGTGGAGATCCAATTGATTTTCCACTTGTAAATGTCCTAAAAACTTTTTCTATCTTCAAAACCATCATGGAATATTTTTGCAAATTTATACGTATATATGTATATATATGTTAGAGCCCACAGCAAAGTAACCAAATAAAATTACAAAATACAATGAACATGTTCTACTGTAGTGTAGATGACATACATGATAAGCAAAAACACAAAAAGGACAATATTGGCTTACTGTGAAGTACCTTAAATGATAACCTAGTTGGTTACAACTAATATAACACCCAAGCAAAAAAGTAATGCGACAGTTGAAAATTAAATGTGAGGAGTAAGATCTGCTGATTTTTATGGCTTGCCTATAAAAATTATGAGTTACATTATGAAAAAAACATAAGTTATTGTACACTAAGATTTTAGAGGACCCTTAAAAAACTGCCACAAGCACACCCAAGAAGCTCACCTTTCTTAACACATGAAAAAGCATAGGATACTAGATATAAAACCCAAACAAGGCCACCTCTTACATAATGGATTAAAATTGGGATCATCATCATCAAAGTTCTGCAACACGATCCACATCACACCAAAGTTTACAAATTTAAAGAATCACTAGAGGAGCAGAAATGTTTTCACTATTTAACATCAGTTGAAGAACAATAACCCATATGCACTAATGCTAATGAACTGTTCATGATGACCATATATACACCAAATAAAACTATCTCAACCAAATCTCACCAATAAGCAGCAATCCATGGCCCCCAAAACTACTTCCAGAAACGACAAAAAGGCAAGGATCGCAGAGACCTTCACCACTACACGCTGCAAAAACATTGAAAATACCTTTACCAGCGCAAACCATTACACCAGCAGAACCAAACCAGCTCGAACTAGTAACCACACGCGCAGACTACTTGATTACAAAAAGAAAGGACTACAGTAGAAGCTTTACTCAATGAACGAATAACACATTGGTACCTATTATCTGCAACTAAACAATTTTACATCTTTAAAATGTTAGGGGGAAGAATTGAGCATATTTAAATTGCCCTTAGTTAATATGGGGAGCGTGCACTCAAATTCTATTGTTTTCTAACTTGTGTATAAAAACAAAATCTTTAAATTGTTTTTGTTGGAAACATTTGGCGAAGATTCATATTTTCGTAAAAAAAGGATCAGTCCTATCTAGAAAATTGCCAAAAATTCGATGTCGATAAAAATAAGACCATTTTCTTCTTTATAGCACGTCTTTTGGCTTAACTGACGCTAGTGATAAATATGAAATAATTTATAGCAGCATTTTAGGTCAGAGATCACTGGAGTCACATAATTCAAACACACACACAACACGCAATAATTTTTCAACAAAACAATTTCCTTACGATTACATTCCATATTACAGTGCAAAATTAATAAAAGTCATGCAAATACTTGTTAATAAAATCAACTAAAATTATTTCATTATATGTTTTTGCAAAATTCTTGACACACATATCAACTGCCTGTTTTTGTCCTACAAAATGAACAATTCATTTCCTTCAAATGGACAGTAATATCACAAATACACAGTTCCATACAACAATAAATCATTGACTAATAATGTAACTAGCTCACTCGTGTTAGTCTTGCTACGCAAATTTTTGAGCATCATCATTCATTTCTTTAGAATACGGTCACATTAATTTTCAATTTATAAATTTGCACAGTAAAACTTAATGAGTGAACTGGCTACACTACATTTATTGACAAAACGTATAAAACACCATAGAAAATTTTTAAAACAACCAATTGAAAAATCCTTAAAAACTTAAATTCCTTAGAAAAACGTTCAAAGTATCGTATACTTCTCATCGTTGTAGATTGACATTACTTTCACATATTGATGTTACTGTAGTCTAGACATATTATTTATATGAAACAAAGTAGACATGAAACTGTCACTCCAGGTTGAAGCATCGACAAACGATAGCCCATTGGCTACAAAACCTTTGTAATCATGCGACATTCTTTTATTCTCTCTCACAAATGTTCAGTCCTTTTAAATGTTTACATTTTTTTAACAACATTTGAAATTCCCTTGAAAACGGTCGTGTGGATGACCAGTTTTTCAAATTCAGGTTTTAAAAGTGTTGTCAACAACGTCAATAACCAATATCACAGTAAAATCACAGAGCCTTTGTCTTCCAGTTCTGCTCGCAGATGAAACTTCATGGTTTGAGAAAAAAGAAAACTATGCCACCAAGTGCTTTAGTAGATAAATTAGTAATTCCTTTAGTTTGAATTTAGACAGTGAAAATTTTCCATATGGTATAAATTAATACATCTCAAATCTCGTTGGACATCCATTTCCAGTATGCTGACTGATCTTTGAGTGAGTAATGTTCTTTTAATTGTTTAACACTTTTTATTACAAATACACTGTAACTAAGTTCATAGGCGTTGCTTGTCCAACAATACTAAGTTCTCTTTTGTCGCAGCCCATAAATGATACGATTGATTCATAAAGCACAGGTGTTCACAAAGCAAAAATTCTTGATTTAAAATTTCTCAGTAAAAGTCATAGATGTATCCTCAAACATCCTTTCACATGCAGCACTATAGCTTTTGTTCTTTCTTTATATTTGCAAAACTCTTTATAGCTTTTGTTAACTTTTCTCGCTCGTACAATAACACATAGTTTGGGGTGTCGAGAATCAATGGGAACTTGTTTATCACAAAATCGAGTGCCCATTATAAAGTCGATTTCTATTTTACAGTACAGATGTTCACAGAGCAAAAATTCTTGATTTAAAATTTCTCAGTAAAAGTCATAGATGTATCCTCAAACATCCTTTCACATGCAGCACTGGAGCTGTTGTTCTTTCTATATATTTGCAAACTCTTTATAGCTTTTGTTAACTTTTCTCGTTCGTACAACAACACATAGTTTGGAGTGTTTAGAATAAATGGACCCTTGTTCAACACAAAATTGAATGTCCATTATGAAGTCGATTTCTATTGTACAGTTTACTTCTTCACATGTTTCTTCACATTTAGTGGTGCACGTGGTTTGGTTTTCTATGTAATTGCTTTGATACTTCCTGTTTAAATTTACTTGAGCATTCATACTAGTGAATGTTTTGTAGTAAAAGACAGTGTAAAGCACAGAATAAATAATAGAGTGAATTTAAATTTATTTAGACTGTAATGTAAGACTTTAACTATAAATTTTAACAACAAAAATTAACTTGCCTAACCGCATATACATGAGCTTGGCTTTCAAAAATGCTCTACCTTCTTCAAAATAAATCCAATCAAGATCTTTACGAACCACAATACATTGCGCTTCCCATGCTTATTGGTAAAATTTATAATTAATTGACCCTCTCAATTGTGCAAGAATTAAGTACGTTCGTGTTGATCTTTGCCAAGCTTAACCCAAAACCTTATAACAGTAACCGAACGAAATACCACTATTTTAATAATTTATACAACATACTCTTCGACATATTCTTCGACAAACATTTAAACCGATTCGGGCAAAGAGTTTTTTGAAAAATATATCGTAAATAAACTTATATTTTCGAAAAATATAAGTTTATTTTGTTGAACATTCAATGGAACAAGTCCTTTAATGCTTTTTTTGGTTTGTGACAATTCTTGACTGAGACTAAACAGAACAGTTATATCACTTTTTGACTGAAACAGAATGACACACTGTGTCAATGATTTCAATCAATTGTTTCGTTGTTTGCCAATTTTCAAACAAAAAAATTGACAACAACGTTAACAAACGTCTCTTTTGACTAACATCATCATGTCCTCCTCACTATATTGTCTATGTATGTCCTCAACTAATTCCCAAGGAAGAGGTTCTTTAGCAACTGCTAATGTATTTAAAAGTGACTGAAATTTTTCTTTACTGATTTGAAATGAATCTAGTTCTTCACTTATTCTTTTTAATGAAATTTCGTAGTATTCATTGAGATTCTTGAAAGTAAAACTGTTCAAACGTTAACAATCTCTGACATCGATTTTTCATTTAATGTTAAAAACGTGTCTTTAAACATCTTTTCATGTGCATCATTATCGTTTGTTTTCTTTCTCTCTACATTGCAAAACTTTCTTTGACTTTTTTTAACTTTTACTGTTCGTACAGCAACACATGGTTTGGAGTGTTCAGTCTCAATGGTTAAATTGTTTATCACGTTGATGAACGTAAATCATGAAGTCATTTTCTCGTGGAGTTTACGATTACTTTTTAACAATCAGTGAGAAAGACAGCCAAATTTATATATCAAAACGCAATAATTAAAATGTATCCAAAAATGCTTTTAGTGCAAGATAGAATTGATTAAATTACTAACAACTTGCTTTACGTGTAAAATAGTAACAAAAAACGTGTCATGTGCAGTATTAAAACCATTCTGCACAAAATACATTTGCATGAAAATTATGATTACATGACGTTTTAACAAAACATAACTTTAGGTGCAATAACAAACACTAGTTTGCCTTTTCTATCTTTGTGTGACAAGATAAAAGTCAATAAAATTATTTCGTTGTACAAGTAAAATTATTGTCTGACACGAAAAACGTTTCTGCTGTTGGTTTGCCTTCATCATTGTTTTTCAATTGCCATCTTTAATTGATGAAGTTCAGTTTTCCTGCATGATCTCCGAAATTGTTGACATTGATGAAGATGACTACCGCTAAGGTTGTCGAAACATCAGTCAACAACAACAAAAACAGTCCTTCTCACGACTCTACTAACCTGGACAATCTACATCTACAAACATGTAACGATACTCCCGGGTTCAAACCATTTACTTTATTGTTGACATTATCGTCAAACTACAGTCTCTTTACAGAAAAATCAAAGTTAGACAAAGGTCATTTTATTAAACCATACGCAAACAGACATTAATTGAAATGTCAACAATGTTGGAGATCATGCATCAAAACTGAATGAAATTTTCTTTAAGATAATATAGTTGACATGTCCTCATCAAACATACGGAGAAATTTTATCAAATTTAATTCAAAGATCAAATTTATTCTCGTGGCAAGATAATTTTTGCGGAATGTGCCGGGACATCAAGGGAAAAAGTGAAAACAAGTTTGCGTTTACGACAGAAATAAAAATCTGTAAGTGACATCATCTCACACGGCCATAGTAATTTCATGCTCTTAAAATATTTCAAATCAATCACTTCAAAGTCTTTATTAATTATAAATCTATAATCAAGAAAGAAGAACTTAACATTGCCTAAATTCTTAGTGAAACTAAAAATAATTTGTAGGTTTCTGATGTCAAATACTTTCACATACAGTTCTGGTTCACCTATTAATAATTTATCTGCTGAAGGTGAAAAAGCAGCGTATTTTATACCGAGAGTAATATCGGGCATGCGCTTTCCAATGACTTTGGCAATTTCCTCCTTAATTACGTCATCCCAACCATTAACAAGTTTGTCTTCATGCCACATACAGTAAATTATCTGATCCTTAAATTCAACTTTGGCAAACACGTGATACTTAGAGCTACATGCAAACACGTGCACAGTTCGATAATTTTCAAAATTCACTGATATTTCTTTTCGCTTGTTTTTAACATTGAAAAACACAAAAGACTCAGTTTTTTGACAAGCAAATGATACATCACTCACTTCAAAAATTTTGTTGGTACCTTTTAGTTCATCGAAACTATAAACAAGTTTTGTCAATTTATTATTCCAAAGCTCAGGAATATTTTTTGCCGTAAGCAAAATAACTCCATTTTCTACAGCAACCATCTCAGTAACAAAACATTCCTTGACAACAATGTCAAATGTGTTGAGATTGTATATGTTTATCAACGAATTTTTATTATTGCTCCGATACAGAAATTTTCCATTTGAGCAAAATTTATTTTTACAAATTCTGTAACTGCTAGTTAAACATGCACGCGGTATTGAATAAAGATAATTGCCAGGTCCGTATTCAAGCAAAAGAACATTGTCGTTATACAAAACAAAATAACGCATTGCTGAAACCTGAAAGGAAAAGCTTAATTTGTAGACATCGAAAGGATCAAGAGGAAAAACCGAAATGTTGGAAACCGGACTTACGTCTGGAAGTTTCTCACCAGTGGGATTTATAACTAAAGGTTTCATTCCCCAAAAAAAGTACCAACTACAAAACCAAGAATCAAAACCAACAGGGAAGAAAACACCAGACTTAGTCAAACCAAGAGGCAGTAAATGATCGTCGTATACCAATGTTTCATAATTATTCACTACATTAAATATTTGAATCACTCTTTCTTCCTCAATAACACACAAATATCTTCCAGATCTAGAAAAACACAGTAAGGTCACATCATTACATCTAATACTGCGTTTCTTCTCTCCTTTCTTAACGTCCCATACTGTAAAAGTATCTTTGTAACTAGTGACCATTGTGTACTTATCTTTAGAAAGACATTTGTTGGTAAAGAACTTAGAAGTAGAATCATCACAATAGAACGGACTGGAGGACATTTTACCCTGAATATCTATTATCTTATCAAGCTGGGAAGCAAAAATCAAATCTTTGAATGGATGAAAGACAACGCTAAAGTAATCCACTTCATATTGCTTAAACTGACCAGAAATATTTTTTATCCATAAACATCTGTTTGTTCTCAATGAAAAAAGTTGCACGATGAATCCTTCATAACCACAGACGACGTAATCATGCTTTTGTGAAACATCAACAGAGATCAAATCTTGATCTAAACGTAATAATCGAGACTTTACAAAACCCGTGTCTCTGCACTCTAGATATGGTGAATCTTTGAAACGTGTTTGAAGCATTGTGGTGGCTTGAGAGAAAAGATCTTTGACTTCGTTGGCAACGCGCTGCAAAAAATCTACTTCATTGTCAAAGAGAGAAGACCACGTCATTAAAGAATAAACTTCATTAAATAAAAATCGAATGTTCTTAGAAATAAGAAAGTACACATCATGTTTGTTGAATTCTTTAAAATTTTCTAGAGTACGACGACCATCAACCAACACGGAAGCAACTAAAACTTCTAAGTCAACAAGATATTTACCAACATTCTTAACGATATAGTCATTATCAGAAATATCAAGTAAATGAAGCAACCAATTCTTGACTGAATACCTCACTGTCACATGTTTAATGACGTCATGGTTTACACCTCCAGCTTTGAGGTTATCCAAAGATTTTAAGCAAAATTCTAAAACAAGTCGATGACCACAAGAAGTTTTTACTGAGTACTCATGTTCTCGATCATCCAACAACCAATCATTTAAGGATTTGTGAAAAAACGAAACACACCCTTCTTCATTGGTAACAAACAGACAAGAGATAATCTTTCTAACACCATGTGATATGCGATTCGAATTCAAACAAAGAACGTCATCAATCATTTTCCAAGGAAGAGGTTCTTTAGCAACAGCCAGAACATTTAAAATTGACTGAAACTTTTCGTTACTGATATGAAACGAATCTAATTCCTTACTTAATCTTGTTAAGCAAATTTCGTAATATTCACTGAGATCTTTTGGTATGAAACCTTTCAATAAATCCTGATTTTTGACTTCACTGGTAAGAAGCGATGCAAGCAACATAAGTCCGTCAGCTTTTTCTGCCAAACTGTTTTTAACATCAGAAAGGCTGTCAGTAAAGCCAAGTCTTTTTTCAATCAAAAATTTAATATCCTCTAAATTGCGATCATCGCTACAATTAATGAACAGTGGCTTTAATTTTTCGAACTTATTCAAAGCAACTTCGTTAGGTCTGGTTGTAATTACAAAGCGAAAATAAGGCGGAAGTTTGTGTAAGTGATTAGCAATCAAATTAGCAAGGTCATCTCTTTCTGGATAACCACATTCATCAAGGGCATCCAGCACAACTAACATTCGCTTGGGAACTTCTGAGATATTATTAAACAACTCGGTGAAAAGAAGAGAAAATAATCCTTCAACATTCATGTTATTCAAAGGCTGAGAGACCTCATCTGAAAGTTTTTTCACAAGAAGTTGTTTGTAAGCAGGAAAATTACGACTAACTTGCAATGCTAAAGATTGAAGAAGTATATTGGCTTTATTGTAACGACTGTTGTTGTGTTGAAAGAAATGAACTGCAGTCAAATATTGAGGATAACGTTTACATAATGTAGCAGCAATTACAGACTTACCCATACCAGCAACAGCAGAAATAATAAATGCACGATTTTGAGAATTTTCGTCTTCAAACCAAGCTAAAAACTCTTTAAAAACCCATTCTCGTGTTCCATGCAAATATTTTTCATAATGATACCTAATATCACTTTCAAAGTTACAGCTAACAAGGTTTTTTGTCAAAATATCTTCTTCTGGACCTAAGTGAGGGTGATTTCGTATTTCATGTACTTCGTCTTTAATTACTGTGACACTATCTTTTACCTGCTGTAAATCTTTCTGTACACCCTCCACTGTTTTCTTAATATCTCTCTGATCAGTTTTAATATCAGTTAAATCGCTGTTTAATCTATCCCATTCTCTCAAAATTCTTTTGCATTCTTCATTACCAACTAACTCCTTTTTCAATGTATCTATTTCTTCCTGACTTATTCCTAAACGAACTAATGGTTTGCTTATTTCCAGCCAATGATTTTCAAATTCATCACAGCTTACTGAAGTGTCAGGTAAGTGAGCAAAATGATCATTACGAAATAACCTGATACGGGTAATATCTGCTTCTGGTGAATCATCAGTGGGGTCATTTACTGACGTCCATATTGGATCACGTGGGGGTTTTAAACCACAAATATTACGCAGGAGTATACAAAGTAAAGTAATGTCAAACTTATTTTCATTTGGTAATATTGGAGGAGGAGGATACAGTAGATCCCATTGATGTTGCTTTATTTGCTTCTCTTTTAGCGACAAAAGCTTACGATGATTTATTCTATCATTTAAAACATAAAATAAATCAGTACCTGACATGTGTTTCCTCAATGTTATTCTCAAAGCTTCTCCACCAACATCAACAATTAATCTCATCAACTTAAAACCATTAGTTTTCATATCTGAGCTCAAGACAGACATAATGTTGCTTCCTGCAGAAAAAAGTAGGTAAGGCTTCCATGGTACAAATTCAGTGTGATTATAAGAGAAAACCAGTGGCCGGTTACAAGAAGGAAGAATAGTTTCATCCATTAGATGGCAAATTGTTTTGAACTTTTACAAAATCTCTTAAAAGAGAATAATATGTGATTTGAACTGAGGAATCATTGAAATATTGCTTCTAAAATTACAAAATGTCTTTCCCCTAAGGAAAATATAAACACCTTTTTCTACATTTTGAAAATTTTACTATCCAACGAGCAATGCTATCCAAGCTTCGTGCAACCGTCCCCAGATGTACAAGATACATAAAAAATAGGTACGAGTGTGTACATGTGTGTAGCCTTGACCAGAGTTACAGTACATGGAATAAACAGTAGTCAGTAGTCCAACTGCTTATTGTTGTATTTTTCATTAAATTAAGTAAAGTCCCAAGGCCATTCCCAAGGTCAAGTTCCAAGGTCATTCCGTAATAATAACATATGAGAAACAAAAATATTTTCATGTCATAATGCCACATAATGAAATTATTCCTTCCTTTGACACTTCTCTTTGATACAAAACGTTCTCTGTGCTCAATGTTTAATAAAAATGCACAGTAATTATCATTATCTTTCCTTTTTATTGCCTTTCTACGCTCAGTGCATGTTATGTGTGCTGGTGTTCACGTGCTAATATCGTGCAAATGAAGCTTGCAAAAAACAATATAATTGCCATGTCCTTATAAATCTCATAAATTTATAGGAGGTGTAATTTATTTGGACTAATGCTTCATTTAGACAGTCTGATTCGTCTAATTAAAAAATTGTATGAAAATAGAGCTTGTTCTATTTTCATTAAACAAGATTAATGAAAACTGACTAGTCAATTTACATAGATTTGAAAAAGACAAGTGAAGAAGAAAAAACACGAAAAATATATCGATAAATATTCTGGATAACACAAATATAAATATCTGAACGAACATAAACATCAACAAAATTATCCAACCGTCTAAGAAAGTAACCAAATTAAAGTCGGAACCGAAACAATCAGATAGGACAAATCGGATCGTGTGAACGTGCCTATATGCATAACAAACGCAAATCATGAATTTTCAGTGCTCTGAATATAATCTAGTGCTAACAGCAGAGAACGTTGATTCCAAGAGAACATAATGCACATTCAAGTGTGCATATACAGAAATAAAGAACCCCGAGAATTTAACATACTTTTTCTACGAACATCTACTTTTAAAAGTGCAATTCTACTTCATTTTACCCGCTACATTTAACCTGCATCTTGATTCATATGGTCACTTTTTCAGGCAGAAAAAAATGTATATATAATGTCTTTGGCAGAGAGCTTATATGCTAGCTATATTCACGTGTAAAATAAATTTTTGCGAAGCATTTTTTGATTGATGTTATAAAACCGTTTGTTATAATTTCCTACAAGGCATGTACAAAGTAAGCACAAAGGTTGTATGCATAAAAAAATTATACGAATGAGTCAAATATCTAAACAAGAAGCTGGTATATTTATTGGTAAAATCAAAGTCAGAAATCAATGCCCCTACTTTTTATCAGACGTGTGTAAACAGCTAACAAATTTATGTGATAGATATTGCCTCAATCCATGTCAATAAACTTATTAGCAGTGTTGGTATATCGTGAATATCCAACAGGCTTCAGATATCATTCCTTTTGTAAGTTGTCCTGCTTACCAATTTAATACAATGTTCCTATAGCTTGGTTAGCAGTTAGATCATTTTAATGTATAATTTTTAATACAAAAGGTTTGATTTTGAATAACCTGTGTAATTTGTAATGGTGAAAGATAAATGTAAATGGGTGAAGGATGAATGTAAATAAATGCTCATCTTTGCAAATTAAGTGTCTTGCTACATATATATATAGCACATTAAACTGAAAACTACTGAAATCAATTGAATTAGTACATGACTACAGACATATCAGTTTAAAAATGACAATCATAATTCATACTTTGATGATACATCAATCTTTTATCCATGTACGTTTTGTTACATAAACACATTTAAATAGCGAACAAAAATGAAGAGTGAGTCAGAATCTCTTTCAACAAATAGTATAATAAAACATTAATGACATCTATGTAGAACATTCTAGTTATATAACTAAGTATGCATCACTGACTAAAAACAATTGTTATAGAAATAAAAATACGTACTTAAGAACCTCATGCAGAATACATAATAACATTGAGATTAGTCAAATTCCAAAGGACTACTGCTAAATCTTATAAAGTTCCACAAGTTTTGACTCAGGAATAGAGAATCACCTATCTAAGACGGGATTTTAATGCAAATGGTTAAGACATGATTTTCGAAACTGTGAATGGATTTTTTCCCTTCATTAATCAAAAATTCCATACATGTATATTCTGCATTAGTCAGTTCATAATACATAAAACCTTTTTTATTGAATAAAACATTGTAAATTATGAATACGTGGCAAACATCAACTGCACGCAATTATAATTACTTATGATCAATAGGTAAGATCACCGTCGATACAACAGTAAAGGTTGTAATGAAACTAAACCTTAAAACTGTTAAACAAACATGATTAAAAGTAAAATTTTAAAAGCCCACTGCGTTGCATGAATCAACATTTCACAAAAATAGATTCGGTTGCGTTCTTTCCCTTGGTAAATACATTCTTCCTATATGTTTAACATTTGCTTATTTTACAAATCTTTTTACTTTAAAAATGAATGGTTTGCTCAATACAATTACCAACATTTTGTGAGACAAACAGCGATCAGTCAAAAGTGGCGTCGGCAAAGGTGATGCGTTGGACATGCACCCCTTTCATAAATTTTCAGATTTTTTTCATGAACAAGTATCCTATTTCACCTCTCCCATACCTTTGAACAGGTTTTGCTTTCCTTTACCATGCAGCTTATTGCCAATGGTTAGAGGGTCAATATATCAATTTAGATATGATTTCTCATGCATGTTTAGTCATACTTTATAGAGATGCTGCTTTAGCTAATTTGTTATGTCGGTAATGTAGTTCTAAAATAATGCTTAATTTTTCTAAAATTACCCTCGTTTTAGAAGTAAGACGACCGTGTAAACAAAATTATGCTTACTTTAGTTTATTACATGTCACATACTAAACAAACGGATGAGAGATTTAATATAAACAACGCGACCACAAACATATCGGTTAAAAAATGGTGATCAATATTCCTACCTTATTGTAACATTGAAATTTCATCCATGTAAAATTTGTAACATAAACACGTATAAATAGTGAACGAAGATGAAGAGTGAGTCAGGATCTCTTTCAACAAGCAGTATAATAAAACATTAATGACATCTATGTAGAACATTCTAGTTATATATCTAAGTATAGATCACTGACTAAAAACAATTGTTATAAAAGCAAAAATACATAAATAAGAACCTCATGCAGAGTACATAATAACATTGAGATTAGTCAATTCCAAAGGACTACTGCTAAATCTTATAAAGTTTCACAAGTTTTAACTCATGAATAGAGAATCACCTATCTAAGACTGGATTCAAAAGCCAATGATTAAGACAAGATTTTCGAAACTGTGAATCGGTTTTTTCCCTTCATCAATCAAAAATTCCATACATGTATATTCTTGCACAAGTCAGTTCATATTATAAAAAACCTTTGTTATTGAAAAAAACATTATAAATTATGAATACGTGGTAAACATCAACTGCACGCAATTATAATTACTTATGATCAATAAAAACACTGTTGTATACTTAGTATACTTAAAAATGAATGGTTTGCTCTATACAATTAACAAAATTTTGTTAGACACACAGCGATTAGTCAAAAGTGGCGTCGGCAAAAGAGGGAGGTGAAGCATGATTGGACATGCTACCTCCCTACATAAATTTTCACAGATTCCCATTTTTTCCTTAGACAAGTATCCTATTTCACCTTTCCCATGCTTTTAAACAGGTTTTGCTTTCCTTTCCCATGCAGCTTATTGTCAATAGTTAGAAAATTGGTATATCAATTTAGATATGATTTCTCATGCATGTTTAGTCATACTTTATCGAGATGCTGCTTTAGCTAATTTGTTATGTCGGTAACGTAGTTCTAAAATGTTGCTTAATTTTTCTAAAATTAAATTCGCTTTAGAAGTAAGACAACCGTATGAACAAAATTATGCTTTCTTTAGTTCTTTACATGTCACATACTCAACAAACGGATGACAGATTTAATATAAACAACGCGACCACATACATATTACTTAAAAATTGGTGATAATTATTCATACCTTATTGTTACATCAATCTTTCATCCATATAAGTTTTGTTACATAAACACAATTAATTAGCAAACGAAAATGAAGAGTGAGTCAGGATCTCTTTCAACAAGCAGTATTATAAAACATTAATGACATCTATATAGAACATTCTAGTTATATAACTAAGTATAGATCACTGACTAAAAACAATTGTTATAGAAATGAAAATACATAAATAAGAACCTCATGCAGAATACATAATAACATTCAGATTAATCAAATTCCAAAGGACTAATGCTAAATCTTATAAAGTTTCACAAGTTTTAACTCAGGAATAGAGAATCACCTATCGAAGATAGGATTTGAATGCCAATGATTAAGACACGATTTTCGAAACTGTGAATGGATTTTTGCCCTTCATTAATCAAAAATTCCATACTCGTATATTCTTGCACATGTCAGTTCATATTATAAAAAACCTTTGTTATTGAATAAACCATTGTAAATTATGAATACGTGGCAAACATCAACTGCACGCAATTATAATTACTTATGATCAATAAAAACATTGTAGATACAACAGTAAAGGATGCAATGAAATTAAACCTTAAAATTGTTAAACAAACATGATCAAAAGTATAATTTTAGAAGTTCACTGTGTTGCATAAATCAATATTTCACAAAAATAGATTCGGTTGTGTTCTTTCTCTGTGTAAATACATTGTTCTTATGTCTAACATTTGCTTATTTAACAAATGTTCTTACTTTAAAAATGAATGGTTTGCTCAATACAATTAACAACATTTTGTTAGACACACAGTGATTAGTGAAAAGTGGCGTTGGTAAAAAAGGGAGGTGATGCATGATTGGTCATTCTATCCCCCCTACATAAATTTTCACAGATTCCCATTTTTTCCATAAACAAGTATGCTATTTCACCTTTCCCATACCTTTGAACAGGTTTTGCTTTCATTTACCATGCAGCTTATTGTCAATAGTTTGAAAGTTGGTATATCAATTAGGTCTCTCATTCATGTTAAGTCATACTTTAACGAGATGTTGCTTTAGCTAATTTGTTATGTCGGTAATGTAGTTCTAAAATATCGCTTAATTTCTCTAAAATTACCCTCGTTTTAGAAGTAAGACGACCGTGTGAACAAAATTATGCTTGCTTTAGTTCTTTACGTGTCACATACTCAACAAACGGATGATAGATTTAATATAAACAACGCGAACACATACATATTAGTAAAAAAATGGTGATCATTATTCATACCTTAGTGTTACATTAATCTTTCATCCATGTAAGTTTTGTTACATAAACACATTTAATTAGCAAACGAAAATGAAGAGTGAGTCAGGATCTCCTTCAACAAACAGTATAATAACACATTAATGACATCTATATAGAACATTCTAGTTATATAACTAAGTATACATCACTGACTAAAAACAATTGTTATAGAAATAAAAATACATAAATAAGAACCTCATGCAGAGTACATAATAACATTGAGATTAGTCAAATTCCAAAAGACTAATGCTAAATCTTATAAAGTTTCACAAGTTTTAACTCAGGAATAGAAAATCACCTATCTAAGACTGGATTTGAATGCCAATGATTAAGACACGATTTTTGAAACTGTGAATGGATTTTTTCCCTTCATTAATTAAAAATTCCATACGTGAATACTCTTGCATAAGTCAGTTCATATTATAAAAAACCTTTGTTATTGGATAAACCATTATAAAGTATGAATACAAGGCAAACATCAACTGCACGCAATTACATTTACTTATGATCAATAAAAAACACTGTAGATACAACAGTAAAGGATGCAATGAAATTAAACCTTAAAATTGTTAAACAAACATGATCACAAGTATAATTTTAGAAGTTCACTGTGTTGCATAAATCATTATTTCACAAAAATAGATTCGGTTGTGTTCTTTCTCTGTGTAAATACATTCTTCTTATGTCTAACATTTGCTTATTTTACAAATGTTCTTACTTTAAAAATGAATGGTTTGCTCAATACAATTAACAACATTTTGTTAGACACACAGTGATTAGTGAAAAGTGGCGTTGGTAAAAAAGGGAGGTGATGCATGATTGGTCATTCTATCCCCCCTACATAAATTTTCACAGATTCCCATTTTTTCCATAAACAAGTATGCTATTTCACCTTTCCCATACCTTTGAACAGGTTTTGCTTTCATTTACCATGCAGCTTATTGTCAATAGTTTGAAAGTTGGTATATCAATTAGGTCTCTCATTCATGTTAAGTCATACTTTAACGAGATGTTGCTTTAGCTAATTTGTTATGTCGGTAATGTAGTTCTAAAATATCGCTTAATTTCTCTAAAATTACCCTCGTTTTAGAAGTAAGACGACCGTGTGAACAAAATTATGCTTGCTTTAGTTCTTTACGTGTCACATACTCAACAAACGGATGATAGATTTAATATAAACAACGCGAACACATACATATTAGTAAAAAAATGGTGATCATTATTCATACCTTAGTGTTACATTAATCTTTCATCCATGTAAGTTTTGTTACATAAACACATTTAATTAGCAAACGAAAATGAAGAGTGAGTCAGGATCTCCTTCAACAAACAGTATAATAACACATTAATGACATCTATATAGAACATTCTAGTTATATAACTAAGTATACATCACTGACTAAAAACAATTGTTATAGAAATAAAAATACATAAATAAATATCTCATGCAGAGTACATAATAACATTGAGATTAGTCAACTTCCAAAGGGCTAATGCTAAATCTTATAAAGTTTCACAAGTTTTAACTCAGGAATAGAAAATCACCTATCTAAGACTGGATTTGAATGCCAATGATTAAGACACGATTTTTGAAACTGTGAATGGATTTTTTCCCTTCATTAATTAAAAATTCCATACGTGAATACTCTTGCATAAGTCAGTTCATATTATAAAAAACCTTTGTTATTGGATAAACCATTATAAAGTATGAATACAAGGCAAACATCAACTGCACGCAATTACATTTACTTATGATCAATAAAAAACACTGTAGATACAACAGTAAAGGATGCAATGAAATTAAACCTTAAAATTGTTAAACAAACATGATCACAAGTATAATTTTAGAAGTTCACTGTGTTGCATAAATCATTATTTCACAAAAATAGATTCGGTTGTGTTCTTTCTCTGTGTAAATACATTCTTCTTATGTCTAACATTTGCTTATTTTACAAATGTTCTTACTTTAAAAATGAATGGTTTGCTCAATACAATTAACAACATTTTGTTAGACACACAGCGATTAGTTAAAAGTGGCGTCGGCAAAAAAGGGAGGTGTTGCATGATTGGACATTCTATCCCCCCTACATAAATTTTCACAGATTCCCATTTTTTCCGTAGACAAGTATCCTATTTGACCTCTACCATACCTTTGAACAGGTTTTGCTTTCCTTTCCCATGCAGCTTATTGTCAATAGTTAGAAAATTGGTATATCAATTTAGATATGATTTCTCATGCATGTTTAGTCATACTTTATCGAGATGCTGCTTTAGCTAATTTGTTATGTCGGTAATGTAGTTCTAAAGTATTGCTTAATTTTTCTAAAATTAAATTCGTTTTAGAAGTAAGACGACCGTGTGAATAAAATTATGCTTGCTTTAGTTCTTTACATGTCACATACTCAACAAACGGATGGCAGATTTAATATAAACAACGCGACCAGAAACATATTAGTTAAAAAATGGTGATCATTATTCATACCTTATTGTTACATCAAAATTTCATGTCTGTAAGTTTTGTTATTTAAACACATTTAAATAGCGAACGATAATGAAGAGTGAGTCAGGATCTCTTTCAACAATTAGTATAATAAAACATTAATAACATCTATGTAGAACATTCTAGTTATATAACTAAGTATAGATCACTGACTAAAAACAATTGTTATAGAAATAAAAATACATAAATAAATATCTCATGCAGAGTACATAATAACATTGAGATTAGTCAACTTCCAAAGGGCTAATGCTAAATCTTATAAAGTTTCACAAGTTTTAACTCAGGAATAGAAAATCACCTATCTAAGACAGGATTTGAATGCCAATGATGAAGACACGACTTTCGAAACTGTGAATGGATTTTTTCCCTTCATTAATCAAAAATTACATACATGTATATTCTTGCATAAGTCAGTTCATATTATAAAAAAACCTTTGTTATTGAATAAACCATTGTAAATTATGCATACCTGGCAAACATCAACTGCACGCAATTATAATTACTTATGATCAATAAATACACTGTAGATACAACAGTAAAGGTTGCAATGAAAGCAAGCCTTAAAACTGTCAAAAAAACATGATCAAAAGTATAATTTTAGAAGTTCACTGTCTTGTATGAATCAATATTTCACAAAAATAGATTCGGTTGCGTTCTTTCTCTGTGTAAATACATTCTTCCTATGTTTAACATTTGCTTGTTTTACAATTGTTCTTACTTTTAAAATTAATGGTTTGCTCGATACAATCAACAACACTTTTTTAGACACACAGCGATTAGTCTAAAGTAGCTTCGGCAAAATAGAAAGGTGATGCATGATTGGACATGCTATCCTTTCTACATAACTTTTCACAGATTCCCATTTTTTCCATAGACAAGTATGCCATTTCACCTCTCCCATACCTTTGAATTGGTTTTGCTTTTCTTTACCATGCAGCTTATTGTCAATAGTTAGAAAGTTGGTATATCAATTTAGATATGATTTCTCATGCATGTTTGTCATACTTTATCGAGATGCTGCGCATGCTTTAGCTAATTTGTTATGTCGATAATGTAGTTCTAAAATATCGCTTAATTTTTCTAAAATTACCTTCGTTTTAGAAGTAAGACGACCGTGTGAACAAAATTATGCTTGCTTTAGTTCATTACATGTCACATACTCAACAAACAGATGAGAGATTTAATTTAAACAACGCAACCACCTACATATCAGTTAAAAAATGGTGAACATTATTCATACCTTATTGTTACATCAATCTTTCATCCATGTGAGTTTTGTTACATAAACACATTTAATTAGCGAATGAAAATGAAGAGTGAGTCACGATCTCCTTCAACAAACAGTATAATAACACATTAATGACATCTATATAGAACATTCTAGTTATATAACTAAGTATACATCACTGACTAAAAACAATTGTTATAGAAAAAAAATACATAAATAAGAACCTCATGAAGAGTAAATAATGACATTGAGATCAGTCAAATTCCAAAGGACTAATGCTAAATCTTATAAAGTTTCACAAGTTTTAACTCAAGAATAGAGAATCACCTATCTAAGACGGGATTTGAATACCAATGATTAAGACACGATTTTTGAGACTGTGAATAGATTTTTTCATTTCATTAATCCAAAATTCCATACATGTATATTCTTGCACAAGTCAGTTCATATTATAAAAAACCTTTGTTATTGAATAAACCATTGTAAATTATAAATACATGGCAAACATCAACTGCACGCAATTATAATTACTTATGATCAATAAAGACACTGTAGATACAACAGTAAACTTTGCAATGAAAGTAAACCTTAAAACTGTTAAACAAACACGATCAAAAGTATAATTTTGAAAGCTCACTGTGTTTCATGAATCCACATTTCACAAAAATAGATTCGGTTGCGTACTTTCTCTGTGTAAATACATTCTTCCTATGTTTAACATTTGCTTATTTTACAAATGTTCTTACTTTTAAAAGGAATGGTTTGCTCAATACACTTAACAACATTTTGTTAGACCCACAGCGATTATTCAAAAGTGACGTCAGCAAAAAAGGTAGGTGATGCATGATTGGAAATGTTATCCCCGCTACATAAGTTTTCACACAATCCATTCACCTCTCCCATATCTTTGAACAGGTTTTGATTTCCTTTACCATGCAGCTTATTTTCAATGGTTAGAAAGTTTGTATATCAATTTAGATATGATTTCTCATGCATGTTTAGACATACTTTATCGAGATGTTGCTTTAGCTAATTTGTTATGTCGGTAAGGTAGTTCTAAAATATCGCTTAATTTTTCTAAATTTACTTTTGTTTTAGAAGTAAGACGACCGTGTGAACAAAATTATGCTTGCTTTAGTTCTTTACATGTTACATACTCAACAAACAGAATAGAGATTTAATATAAACAACGCGACCACATACATGTTGGTTAAAAAATGGTGATCATAGTTCATGCCTTATTGCAACATTAATTTTTATCCATGTTAGTTTTGTTACATAAACACATTAAAATAACGAGTGAAGATGAAAAATGAGTCAGGATCTACTTCAACAAACAGTATTATGAAACATTAATGACATCTATGCCATAGTATAGAAGCAGAATAAGAATATACAGACGAGTCACTTGTGTCGGAGCCCTTTGATGTTTTTGTCCTCGCGCACGTCGTGGTATAGGGAATATACAGTAGGTCCACTTCGTGTGCAACTGGCTGCTGTATACTTAATTAGATTACTGGCTGCCGTTAGGCATTTCATTATTCCTATTCGTTAAAAAAAGCAATTGACTGGCTGCCACTATGGTAATCACATGCGTAATAAGATATGTGTGGCACGAAAAACTTTAATAAAGTGGCTCTACTGTATATTCTTCTATGGTGTGTCTATGTGGAACATCTCAGCTATATAACTAAGTAGACATCATTGACTAAAAACAATTGTCATATAAATAAAAATACATAAATATGTACCGCATATAGAGTGCATGATAACATTGAGATTAGTCGAAAAGGACTCGTGCTAAGTGTAATAAAGTTTTACAAGTTTTAACTCAGGAGTTGAGGATCAACTAACTAAGACAGGATTTGAATGTCTAGACGGATGAAAATGGCCATTTTATAGATAACTGTTTTAAAGTCATTATATTACTTGCTCTACGGAAACAGCAACATCTTAGAAATATTTTTTTCAAAGCATTTTTTTCCATGAATTAAAAGCCCAAAGGACCAAGGTGTTGATTACATAAGAAAGTTATCAAGGCTAGGAGAAGAGAATGTGATTAATATATACGATGAATCCCCGGATCTACTGTGCTTAGAAACAAAAAGAGGTAATAAAATTTCGTTAAATATAACCAATTAACACATAGATCATTGGCCAATATGTTAAGGATTCTAACGAATAAAGTTATTGTACAGATACAATGCTTGATTATTCCCAATGGTTATTGAATTTGTTACTTTTTGTATACTTAATGATTTTCTCGGCTAACTTTGACAAATCCAATAACTTATTGACAACAAAAAATTTATTTGGTTACAACAGATAGGCTGCCTCTCCTTATTTGACTAGAAATTATTAGATACAAAAAATATCAAGTTCTTTTTCCCCATAATATCTCTAACCTGTATGTACTTTCCTATTAATGACATTGGCATTATATTGGACATGACGATATTTGAACCTTAATTAACTTACTTGAGTAAGTCTACATTTTACTATGGACTAATGATAAAAATGTTCTATTTATGTTCTAATTTACTCTGTCTGTTCCATAACAGAGGCGAAGCAAACTCGTTGATGAGGAAGGGGGGAGGGTTCGAATTTATGAATGCATGTCTTAATCTATAATAAACAATGGATTTCAAAAAGAATTTAATTCTACAGAACATGCATTTATGAATACGTTCTCCCCAAATATTGAGGTTGCTAAACAATTGCATATGGATGTAATATTTATGATCATTGTAACAATTTCAATGGTTGTAAAAAGACAAATTGTATTTCGACATGCCATAACAAATTACAGTCATCAAAGTTCTGGAGGAATCGACATAAAATCAAGATGACAGTCCATATTCTGCCTGCTGTCCTCAAAGAGATTGCTGATCTCAAGGTCTATTAATTCAAGTCCATTTAGTTCATCTTGATTTGTTTCCTGAAGTGATTTGGCATCATCAACTTGATTGGATTCCTCTGTCAGAAATTTTAGAAATTAGTAAAAAGTTTTTTTATTTGTTTGAAAATGTAGTCGAGAACGGTATGTAGTGAGAGACAGCCAATCTATTGACTCTTGAAAGTCATAGTAGAATACATCGTAAACGAGCTTAAAGAAAAATGACAGAATCAAGCACAACGAGATTTGTCAAATGGATCACTTTAGGGCAGGCCATGTGAACTGTGAGTAGGGCTGTCCCTAGAAAGTTAATGGGAGGGGAGGGGGCTTATTCACACTTTTAATTGCGCCAAACTGATTTCTTTTGAAAGCAATTTACTGAAAGTGCCAATGCAACGAAAACTTTGCAAGATAAGTTATGTTTGCAATGACTAGAACCTTTGAAATTACAGTGTACTTTCTAAAACAGTAAATGCATATTCTCGTGATTTTGACGTTTTTGTGATTTCCAATTTAACTTTTGACGTCATACTGCAAAATGAGTTCCCACAATGTTTCAAATATTCTACAGTTTCCTGACAACTTCAGGTTGATACTAGTAGGCACCATTTTATACCATTAACCCCGTCACAATGAAAGGAACTCTGTCGTTGTGAAGTAAAGTATCAGTAAATATACCTAAAAATTTTAGTTCTCATTATGCAATGTGACGTAACAAGTTAGATATATCGAACATAGCAAGAACCTCAATATCTCAAGAATTAAAAGTGATATGCATAAACTGGTTTAGAATGTCCATTGTCATTTTAAAATATCTCTTCAATAAAAGTATTACTCAGATAGCAAAATTTTCGTTTCATAGGCAGTTTAAGAAATCAAACAACTCGCTTTAAAAAAAATCAGTCAGGTACATTTGAATATATGAACAACACACCCTCCCCCACCAATCAACGTTTACCAGGTGGCCGTGACTGTGAGATGTATGTGCGGGGGTATCAAAAAAATAGACAGTGACGAAAAACTTTCCTAAATTGATCAGCACGCAATATTTGCAAAAATTTTAAGTGGAAATAGGTAGTTGGACTTCAATTGGTTCATCTGATAGTTAAGAAAAATTGTTTCAAATAATAACCTTTTTAGACGGAGGAATGTATTACAGAGAAGTGCTTTTGAAGTAGCTCACGCACAAAAATGACAAAGCTAAATGCAATTGAAACATAGAATTAAAATATGTCACACTTTGTTCAGACAAATGAAGTTTCAGGGAATTTGGCAAAAGCGTACACAAACAAGTAGCTTCCAAATCACAGATTATTTTGTTTTCGTTTTTGAATACCTTTTTATATCTCTCTTTAATTATGTATGAATTTCAGTTTCCAAAAAAAGCTGAATCATTATAAACAGAGAAATTGATGATGATTTATGTAAAATGTCATAAAAACGGAAAAACACAAATTAATCTACGATTCGGAAGATGAACGTTCGCGTAAGAATCGTCCAAATTTCCTGAAACTTTATTAGTTTGAACAACATATACCATATTTTAACCTTGTGCGTTCCAAAAGCAATCTATTAATGTCATTTTTAGCTCAAGCTATTTTAAAATAGTTTCTCGGTTACAATTTTTTACTCTAACAACGATTAAGATTTACGAAAATTTAACCGTAATAACGTAAATAGTTTGAACCTGGACGTTTTGTTTCGTGTTTCTAGATGTAGATCGTCATGGTTAGTAGAATCCTGAGAAAGTCAACTTGACTTTAAAGGTGACTACTGCTAAGGAAGTCAAAACGTCAGTCAACAACAACAAAAACAGTCCTTCTCATGATTCTACTAACCTGGACGATCTACATCTACAAACGTGAAAATTGACATTAGATAAATCATTGGAAGTCAAACTACTTATTTCCACCAAAGGTTTTTGCGAACCTTGTACGCTGATCGATTTAGCAACGTTCTCTCAACTGTGTTGTTTTTTCAAATTTCCCCAATCCTTTGGGTTAACCATTACCTCTGCAGGATTTCTACCACTTTAACAGGGCAGCATATTGATGTTTACTGTCTCGATTCAGAGACAAATCGTTCGTTCGTAGGGCCGTACTGCCACTGTAGGATTTCAATGGAATATGAATTTCAGCAATCGGTTGCAACTAAAAAATACGTCAAACATGTCAAATACATCGTAAATATGAGCGGACAACAATTAATAAGAATTTAT